AGCAGAACGTGCACTGTCATTTATCAAATTTGTTCGTTGACGTTCGCGGTCCTTTCTCCATGGTTCGAGGTTCGAGTTCAGTTGACGCTGAGAGATGACCACATGACCAACTTTTATCTTCGCCGTTCGCCGACATTCGACGTGAACGTCGAGCCAATGAAAAACACGTATCTGATTATTTGACCACGCATGCGTTAACACGATCCTAAACTGACATCTAGGTTTTTTTTGATACGAAATTATAATGGATTTATAATTATTTTATAACCAACACCATCTACAAATATAATTTAAAAAAAAAAATAACAACGAAATATAATTTATTTTATGTAATTTGTGGTTATGTCTTGTCAAATCAAATGTCAAAATTCGCAGCGACGAACGAACGGCCAACGACTTTATAAATTGAGTTCAGCGCGAACTCACCAACTCGAACTGATCGTGAACTAGACAGGGATTCTTATGTGCGTACTCAACACGTAACGAATCAAATAGAGAGAGACATTACATACAAATCGCATTCTGTGGAACGAATTGAAAGATGAAAATCCCAATGCTGAACCCCAACTAAGAGAAGTTTATAAATCCAGCTTAAACTATAACAGAAAGTGAGTGTTTTGTACCTACATCATACGAACAAACATATCCTATGAATTCATTAATTTAGAGAAATTAGTTCTAATTAACAGTGCTGTTTCTAAAGTGGCGCAAGGAAACTGTAACAAGGCCTATCTGTAGGGGTGTAGGAGTATTAGAGTACTAATACTCCTGCACTATGGAGTATTAGACTACTAGTACAATCCATAACCTACATAGAACACAAGGCTAATGACCCTAGATGTTGAAGCCGTACACCAAAAAAAAAGGACTATAATAACAGGGGGCAAGATCGTAGTTGCGTTGAATGTTAAAGAAATGATAAAATTTGATAAAAATGTGGATTGTTTTTAAACGGATGACATGGGTATGAAGTCATAGTATGAAGACGTACATGGGACACGTCGCCTGTCAACTAAAATTCTCGTTCTTTTTACAACTTAGCTTAGATCAAAATTTAACTTTTAGTTAGTCAAGTATACCTGTAAAAAGAAAACGACTATTGAAGTTAGGACTTTAAAAGAGGACGACTGGTAAAATAAATTCGACCAATCGTTTAACATGATAAAAAGCCTTATTGTAAACTGTAAATTCTCATTTAATACAGTTAAATTTTTTTACATCAAATGACATTCACTTAAACATCGCCCATCGATCATCGCTCATCGAGGCATCTTTGACATGTACTTACCCTAATACAAAAAATATATAAACTGAAAAGTATTCCAATCGATGACTATCTACCAAGCACTAGTATTTATTCGAAACAAAAGCAGTTTAAATAATAAAATAGGTTTTTCACATAAAACACGGGCTGCTAGAAAATGTATCCCAGATTTGTATTTTCCGATATGGTAAATCTCCCGCGATTGTTTTTCGCTTTTGTTTTGCTTCCAACCGACCGGAATCGGCTTCTAGCGAAAAGAATACCCCTATTAATTAACTCCGATGCGGGGTTATTCGTCAGACCGGAAGCGGACAAGTTTGCACGGGTAACGACGTTCATTTATTCCGGAATGATTTACGGTTTGCCGGCTCCCCTTATTCGCAAATAGGGAAATTAACCCTGGAAAAATCTTTTGGTGATTGGAAGTGAGAATTTTCTGACGGGAATGATTTAAAGGGCAGTCGGGCATGCTCGTTAGGTGCACATTGGTTTTCCTGATTGCACACGAAAATAGTATGGTTAATTTAGGCTTTTTGTTATTTGAGGGTAGATAAATTGAAGCGTCCTGATTTTTTATCCCTCAATCAGCGACATATCAGTTATTAGGGTCATTAGGATTGTTTTTATGAAGGCTTTGTTCACTTGTGGCGGTGGATCTTTACCCATGCGTCATCAATATAATGGGGGCGTTCGTATTACGTAAACAGCCTTAAGGGACGCCGGATTTAGGTTTTTCTTATTTTTACTTGAAAAGGGATCAGGGGAATATTATAAATCTTACGTATGATAAAAAATTACAAAATAATGATAATGTTTTCAGAATAATATTGATTTTTAACAAATCTAAGATGGGTTGAAATTAAAAGAAATCCTAAATTAAAAATGAAAAGCGATATCAACATGAAAATTTAAGTAAAAATGAAGCTTTATAAGAAGATAAAGCCTATTGATACTGAAAAAAAATGAATATATTGGAGAGTTAAGGGGGATTAAAATATTAAAAAATATATCCTAACTGAAAAACGAAAAATGATATCAACTTGAAATTTTTAGCAAACATCAAGCTCTAAAAGGAGAAAAAGCTCTTTAATTATATGTTCCCGAACTGTTAAATTCCTTTGTTATTTTCTTCCAAGCTTCATTTTTTTCGATGCTCGTGACGGCGTCTATTTTTTATTTTCTATGTCCTTGCATTTGGCCACGATATTAATAATAATTTATCATTATTTGTATAATTATTACTAGATCTTTCTCTTTTATTTTCCATATTAATTATTTTAAAAAATTTAGATTTTCGTTAGGGGGATATAGAAAAAATTCGAGTGGATTGTCCGTATCGCACTCAGACGATTGAGCATTCTGCCTACGGCGACGTTCTCAAACTTCGCCTTCGTGCGGAATTGCCATCATTCCACTCTTGTTGCACAGACTACTATTTTATAATAAAATAATAGTTGACAGGAGTTTTTCATTTATTATTGAAATTTGTCTCCACATTTCCGACCGCTGGAAGTCCAAAAACGCAAATAAAATCGTCTGGTCGTCTTTGCGTGGGTATGTATGGCTGTGCCGACACGATAATTCTAGAACGAAAGCTCGACTTACGGTTTTGATTTTATGTAATAATATTTTTCAGCTGAGAACTATTTAATTTTCAGAATTTTTACTTAAACAGAAGTGTTTTAAATATCAGTGTTTTTAAAATACATTACGTTTCTTATAGAGCTTATTTTATGGTACCGATTTCACTAGAAAGCCATGCTTGTCAACCAACTGTAAAGCCACGAACATTTTTTCTAAGCATATTTTAGCTCGAGGCCAAAAGTTTGACGAGAAGTTTGTCGAGAAATAAAAAGACACTTCAATTCCGTGATTTATACGATATTTTATGCACTTTTGTAAAAGAAAGGCCAAAAAAAATCATGAAAATTAAGAAAAACCACCTAACACCACTCTAATAACAAAGCAATGACGATATCAGTACAAAGTTGTTATAGTGTTGACGTATATTGTACTTTGTACTATATTTTCGATTGTATGGTATAAGTATACTTTTAATCCCTAGGGAGTAAAAGTGCCATGTTAGTTCCGGAAAGTGCATAAAATGATTTAGTTTTTTAAACGTCTTTTGAAGGATTTTATTTGAGTAATTTTTTAATATAACTGAAAGTGAAGATAATTATTTTAAAGCTGAAATATAAATGTAGATCTTACGCAAATAACGTAGAGTTTTAACTAACTCAAGAGAAAATTGTTCAAAGGAAAGTCTTTGATCCACACCACCGACATTCATATTAAACTGAATGGCTATGTCATGTCATAAGCCCTACTCATAATTTCTAAGCCGATATGGATTCACCATTTTAAATGTATATTTGATTAGCCCAGTATTATCTTTCGAACCATTTGAGCTAGGATCGATATCTCAAAATTCGCTTTTTTTACTTTCCTATCTGTATACAGATATAAGGAAAGTATATGAATCATGATTTTTTTCGACCTCGAGTTTTCGACCTCTGTGTGTCTCTATCCACCATAACTCATGAACCGATACACAGAAAAACACCAAATTTGAAACTTAAGCTTTATTCCAGCGTCCAATGAACTGATTAGATTTTGAAAATAGTCTGAACATCTGGGGGGGTACTTTATAGGTGGTCATTTTTATATTTTATGAAATATATCTGTTATTTACGTTTGGAGAAGAAAATCCTTCGTAATATTATTATCTATAATTTTTGTTCTATATAAAATTTTCCTAAAATGGTCCGTATTCGAGAAATTTAACAAAATGTGAAAAAAAAATATTTTTTATAAAAATTGTTCAAATAAAAGTTGTTTGTTATATAATTCTCTATAATTTTTATCCCATACTTAATTTTTCTAAAATGGACCGTATTCGAGATATTTGAGAAAATGTGTAAATTTTGAATTTTGAAGAAAACTCAAAAACGGATAAAGAAAAGAACATTAAATTTTAAACATAAATTTTATTTCGGCCTGACGTGAAATAATTAGATTTTGGACAAAGTCGGAACATCTGGGGGGTACTTTATAGGAGACCGTTTTTATATTTTATGGAATATATCTGTTATTTATGTTTGGAGAAGAAAATTGTTCAAATAAAAGTTACTTCTAATATTATTATCTATAATTTTTGTTTTATGTCAAAATTTCCTGAAATGGTCCGTATTCGAGAAATTTGACAAAATGTGCAAAATTCTGATTTTTATGAAAATTGTTGAACTAAAAGTTGTATGCGACATCGATCTCTATAATTTTTGTTTATACATGATTTTTCTAAAATGGACCGTAATGGAAAAATTGTAGGAAAAGTGCTAAATTTAAAGTTTTCAGTATTTTCGTTTTCAATGGATATCTTTAGAAAAATGTTTCGAGGTAGATGTATGTGGAAAATGTATATATTTAGTTTATCCTCTAAACATTTATAGAGGTGCTGCAATAGGTTGTACAAAATAACCAGAAGAAGCCTATAATAACTAGATAGGAAAGTCATGTGTTGGACACATCAGATTTTTCAAAATGTTGATGAAAAAATTACATCAAATGTTGACGAGATATGCTTCTGTATTAATCTACATTTTTTATGGTACCTAGATTAGATTACCTGCTTTGGGGTGGTATTTTATGTTATGGTTTATGTAGGAAACTGAAAAATCTATGTAAAATATATTTTTGTTCTTTATTAATATTATCAATATAAAACTATCTGTACAAAATATATTTACAAAATAAAAAATATTTAAAAATAACTACCTAAAATATTAAAGCACCATATTTTAGATTTAATAATTCATCACGTTTTTTTTTTCTTTTTTGTTAAAATCAGTTACCGATTTACACATTTATTTAAGTAATAACTTAAAATATATAAATATAAAATTATTTGGCATGATTATTTTTTTTTAGCACATGTTTTTATGCATTGTTTTAATAAAATGTGAGATCTAGTAAAAAAAAAATAACGAAAGCAATGAGCATCCTACTCAAAAAAAAAATATTTATCCCATAGATAAAATTATGGAATAATTTTACAAATAATATAGTGCTCCAGAAAAAAATTCTAAAGTAGGCCGAAAAAGAGTCATGTCCGTGATAACTACGTGCAAATTTAAATTAAATCCAAACCTACACATAAAAGAAGATTTATGCTTTCCATACAATGTTAATTTTTCCAAGGCCTACTTTAGAAACATTTTTTTGTGGGTCATTATTATATAAATACCTACTATTTGAGAAGTTCGGACACAAGCGCTCAAAATGTCATATGTTTGATAAATATTCAATGATTGCCCAGACACAGCTTAAACTTGGCTCGCTACGGTACCTTTGCTGTTCTCCCACCATGATACAAAAAATTAAAAAGGTATGATACTTAGCCGACGAAATCTCGTCAAGTTCGCGCATGCCGAATTGTGGTGTGTAATATGACTATCTGATTAGCCATCAGCAGATTGAAATTTATTTTCGAGCACTGTTTTTGATCAGCTGATACCTCAAATTCGTAAAAGCCACGCCTTCACACCACAATATGTCACCGTGATTTAGTATTATCAATCTGCGTAATATCATACCTTCTTTTTATATATAATATCATGACTTAATACCCATAACAATAAGAGAGGAGAGGAATATGGCTGAGAATTTGTCGTTAGAGGTGCACCCCTTCTCTACCTATGGGTGTTCCTCCTTTTTTAAATAGCGAGTAAAGTCTAAAAAACATACAGCTCCGGCACTCTAAACTTCTTTAAATAGATGAGCCGTACTCAATATATTTGATAACTTTACATGTATTGGATACATCAGATATTTATTCACCGTCACTAAAAGAAAATCAGGACATATTTGTGAATTTAAAAACTATATGAGTCGCTCAGCACCAGAGTGGCCCAACTGAAAAATTTAACTATTTGTGGTATACTATGCAATATGTGTATATTTTCCTAAATTTTAAAATTAGGCTGACCCAAATGAGCTTCATCTACTATTTAATAGATGGTGCAAGGAAAACAGTTGAGCCACAATCAGTTTGTCATATTATTTTAAAAGGATTTAGTTTAAAACTCTTGAAAATGAAACGTTAGACAACTCAAAGTTATTAAAAACAAAAGTATACATATTTGATGAGATAACTCACTTTACATGACTCGTTAGCTCAGTTTGTTAAGCATTGAACATGCAAATAAATTTTCATTTTGCGACACGATTCAATTCATTTTATTTATGATGATAATAATAATAATAATTATTGTTGTTTATTTATTTTAAATACATTTTATTCAGCATGATAATAATTATATTATTATTATGATAAATGAAATGTATTTTAATAAATAAATAACAATACCGCGTCGCGAAATGCAAATTTGACTGCAGGTTCAATGCTTAACTCTGTTACGTGAAATTAATTTTAAATTAATTTCAAATTTATTTTTAACAACAAATTATCCATAACCCCTCGTAACACAACTTAAACGACTACCGCTGGCTTCCTTCTCGAAATTTGGAAAGTACGGTTTGCGCACGGTCCATAGCGTTTCTTTGAACAACCATGCCAAGGTAAAACCGACTCGTCTGGATTCAACCTTTCTTTTGGTGTATCGAGTTCAACGTGGTAATATGTGCCGATAAATTAGCTGCTATAAATAGTTTTCCATAATTATCTTGTCTTGTATGTGTTTATTGTGTGTTAACGTTGGGATAATTGTCAAGTAATGTTTCTTTCACCTTATATTTTATCATTTTGCTGGATTTCGTTGGAAAACCGAAAGGATCGGCCATTTGCTTTTTTTTACCATCATGCCGGTTATTTATGTTTTATTTTATTTTATATAGATTCTACCTACCCTAACTAATAATATTTTTAGGCTTTCTTTGATACTTTGATATATACGCGAGGAGGCAACTAAATAATTGAATTACAAGTCAGTCTGGAAATACAGTTTAAACGGAAATCTATGGCTCTTGACTTATTTATAAATAGCTTATATTTTGTTTAGATGATGTAAAACTTATTGTTATAACTTATTTTGGCCTTATAAATACTTTATATTAGGTTCAGATGATGTAACTTTAATATTTGTCGTGATATTTTATATTCTGTTTAGACGTTGTAACTTTAATATTATTTGTTCCGTTTATGCATAAGTCCGTTAGATTTCCAAACTGGCACGTAGATGTATTTTTACTGTTACTGAGGTTCTTTTTATTTCTAAACCTGTAGTGGCTCCAAGAAGTTCCAGGTAGCTCTAAGCTCTAAGAAATCAAGAAGTCCCGAGTTACGTAGTTGCTCCTAGAAGCTCTAAGCTCCAAGAAGTCCTGAGCTACGTAGTTGCTCCTAGAAGCTTTCAGCGCCAAGAAACTCCAAGCTTTAAAGTCCAAGCTTTAAGCTCCAAGTTCGAGTTACGTAGTTTCTCCAAGTTTCGAGATCCAAGTATCTAAGCACTTGAAGGCGGATTGTCCACGACATACGAAAGGGAAGTACCGTACTAGAATGCCACATGGTCAGGACAATTAATAAACATTTATCAGTCAATTTTATTCATTTATTTATTCATTTATTCACGTTTAATCATTAACTATTAATTTATTATAAACAAATTTATTCTTTTTACTTTTTTTATTAAATGTATTAAATTTTCTCACTTTCTTTTATTTGTCAGAATTCATACAGACAACTGTAAGTACCAGAGACTGACTCAATTAAACAGGACATATCAAATATGATAAGTTTTCCAAGTTACTCAAAAACTTGGTGGCGCTCAACATTTTTGTCGTTATTGTATTATAATATCTTTCATTTTATCGTAACGTAAAGTAGACTTTGGCTTGCGAACCGGTCAAGCTACTCTGATTTCAATTGTCCTGGTCAATTTATGAATCCACGCAGTATCAGCAATTTGAGCTAAATCACCTCTTAAGACATCGTAGAAATTAAAAAGAAGGTAACACAAACTGAGCTAAAGAGTCATGTCAAGAAAGTTTTCTAATAAAATATGTGTATTGCAAATGTCAACAAAAAAAAATATAACTTTCGAGTTGTTCGACGTCTCGTTTGTAGGTGTTTTAAACTACATGCTTGCAGATGACACTTACTGATGGTTCCGCCTACCTCCTCACAAAAATCTAGCAAGAGGTGAGATCGTACCACCTTGCGGTCACTAGCTTTTAGACTATAAAAAGTCTAGCGAATTTTACAACATCAAAAACCTAGCGAAGTGGCACTGTGGTATCTCGCATCTGCCTCGCATTTGTAAAGTCGTAGGTTTGAGCCCCACTATCGTCTGGCCTGCTATGAGTTTTTTAGGGGTTTTCTCATAGCAATAGGCAAATTCTGGGTCATTAACATCCTCGCAGATACCTACCACCATTTCTTCAACCCCACCCCCTCAGACCTAATCCCTGATCCGAACAGTGCGGCTGAAGAGGCTAGGAATGCTTATAGTTGTCCACTTCCCAGTTAAGTGCCCGAGCTGTATGTTATTGTTAAGTTGTCCGAACGTCCGGAGCTACCCTTCTGATACATAGAGACATAAAAATGTCTTGATCTTTAAAAAAAAAAGCAGGAACAGAAGTTGGAAAGGCATTTCGCAGTTCATCACAGGATTTGGCAGTTTTGCCGCGGAGTTAACCGAAGAGAACGCGAAACATTGGCGTAGGAAATTATTGTATATATTATATTAAGAATTTCTTCTAAATAGTTTTATAAATTGCTGTTGAAATTTTGTAAAATTATGATTTGGGATATTATTACCTGTTTAATTAATTATTTTTAGCACATAAATAGATACGACTGCCCGACTCCACCGGTAATAATTTAAAATATTTGATATTATTTTTATTCTACGAATACGACACTGGCGATCAAATATACCGGTGTCAAGTTAGCAGCCACTTTCCAGCAGCTTGTTTACCGGAAACACCCGAATTACCAGTGGCGTCGAAATGTATTTTTCTGTGAAGTAAACAGTGTATTAAAATAAAATTACTACTAAATTTTTAAAAAACAAATAAAAAGTGTTTAGAGAGAGGATTAAGGGGTAAACTGAAATAAAAATCCAATAAAACTTCATTAAAAAATCAATTTTTCTATAAAGATAATAGAATATTGAAATAAAAATAGTGTCAAATTGTTAAAAACTATAAAATACAACCTACAAAAAAAAAATAACAAAATCACTTAGGAAGGGGATGAGGGGGTCAAATTAAATAAAATTTCATTAAAAATCTATTTAAAAATTAATTTGCCTAAGAATACAATCCAATATTGAAATAAAGTTAGTGCCAAATTGTTAAAAATGGAAAATGTAATTTTATTTAATTTGACCCCCTCATCCCCTTCCTAAGTGATTTTGTTAATTTTTTAGGTTGTATTTTAGAGTTGTATAAAATACAACCTAAAAAAATTTATTTTTAAATAAATTTTTAATTGAATTTTATTTTATTTAACCCCCTCATCCCCTTCCTAAATGATTTTGTTATTTTTTTTAGGTTGTATTGTATAGTTTTTTAACAATTTGACACTATTTTTATTTCAATATTCTATTATCTTTATAGAAAAATTGATTTTTTAATGAATTTTTATTGGATTTTTATTTTGGTTTACCAATTAATCCTCTCTCTAAATACTTTTTATTTGTTTCTTAAAAATTTAGTAGTAATTTTATTTCAATTCACTGTTTACTTCACAGAAAAATACATATATTACAAAATATTACCGCGAAATCCGCAAAATTCTCGAAGTCGTTTGCGAGGTTTCACGTTTACCACCCATCCACCTACCAAAAACTTTCCAACTTCTGTCCCTGCTCTACATGTTGGCGAGGTTATGTTGTAAGCAATAAAATCATTTTTACAATAGACACAATATTGTTAACTTAAAACTACATTATTATTTTCAATATCACGTCTTGTCGTTCATATTAAAATATTTATTCGGCATTTAGCACACGTGCAAAAAAATACATAGAGCATAAGATAAACATCTAATAAAAAACCGTACTGTTATGGCAAGCTATGTTCTAAATTAAAATTATGTAAATAATACATAGATTCAAGAGGCGAGAGTGACAGCAAAACAATTAAAAAGAGAGAAAAAAAAGAATCTATTTAAAATAGTGGCTGATATAAGAGAAGCACTTTTTGGCAACTCAACTACATCAAATATGTAGGTTGGCTGCCAAACGAAGGGAGGACTAACAATTTAAGATGCACAATGGGCCTAGTGAGGCCTAAGTGCCGTCGGACAACCCATCCTCCACGCGTTACAGATACAGAAGTACGAAAGACCCATAAGATTATCTATTTAGTTTATCATTATTTTTTTATCATTAAAATGAAGAAAATAAATAGATACAAAGCCGCAAAAAAATTTTTTGTAAATGTTTTATTTATTTCCTAGATTATACCCAACAAAGGCCCTTACGGTACAGCTTGTGTGAGTACTTTTAATTTGAGAAAAGGACTGAAGCATCTTTGGAACCATTGTCATCTGTTCAAAAGATAAATTAGTGTTAAGCGAAATATAGACAAATATTATATTTCTTATTTCTGTTTTAGAGAGTAGTAGCTGCACTTAAAATATCCAGAAAAAAATCCCGTTCTATTATCTCCGGGAAAAAAATTGTTATTATTCAGAACTATATCCACGCTCTGGTTTATCACATCGCTTTATCCAATTCATAAAAAAATAATATAAATATAAACCTATACATCCTGAGATTCGATTTTATTATAGTGCACCTTCCTACTAACAGCTTCCAAAAGAGGACTAAACCTTCCCCTCATGCTGCCCTTCTTCAGGTAAGCATAAGCTCCTAAAAGCGTCAATAAAATAAGCACCAGGATTACTAAAAGTATTGTTAGCGCTTGTGATATTTTCGCATGTTTGGATTCTGCTAAGTTCTTCAAATTCATGATGTATTTTGTACCATACTTGGTTTGGTGGCATTGGAGAGTGTCCTTATCTCTAAAAATAAAAAGAAATAGTAGTATTACAAGTGACAGGTACTCTTTAGTGTCGTGAAAAGTGCCAGTCAACACAGTTGGTCGAAACAGCATCACGTTTTATGGCATCATATGACATAGGATCATAAGAATTATAAAGAATGATCTAAAAATTGTTTCTAAACTAGGTAGGCAAAATAAGAGCAGCACTAATAGTGACTGACCTTAAATGAACTTGCAATAACTCTCTTATTAAGGACAGGCGCAATCTTTATTAAAGTTAGTGATCTGCGTATGCTCAGATGTCAAAATAAGAGCGGCACTAATTAGGCATTCCAAACAAATGAATTACCAGTGGGCAGGTTTGGTATATCTAAGGGTGGCGACATATGGTGTATTCTATCTACTTTACGTAAAATCATGAATAATGGATTACATTTAAATATTTTATGTCAAACACAATAAAAATAATATTTAAAAAACCCACCTATACATTTCTTCATAAATTGGCAGGCTTGGCGAGTACTACTTCGAATAAAAATAGCGTCCAAGTTACAAGACTATGTCGTGACCCCCTTACATATACAAGAATTTCCCACTAGCACCCAGGGCTGGTATATCTAAGGGGGGTCGCGACATAGGAGTCCATTTTGGACGCCATTTTTTTCGAAATAGTAGTCACATAGTAGTCGCCATTGATCTGGCAACGTGGCAACTTGTAGTCGCCAGGTTTACCAATATAAGAAAAAAAATCAATGTCATTTCTTAAATGACATTTCCATTATAAAATGCCCATATTTTTTAGGATAAAATATTTTAATTTAATAAATTAATAATCTCAGATGTACATAAAATACCTACGTCGGGAAAAGTAGATCACTTTCAATTTTGTGCTGTTTTAGTTTTGTTTATTTTAAAAGGTAATTGAAGAGATGAAGACAATTTTCTTATAGATGATGCATAACAAATTATTGCTCCCTTTTTAGAGCTCCAGTCCCTTAAGTCTATTTATTTTAGGTCTAAAATTGTTGGTAGGTATTATTCACTTCATTTGTATGTGTTTTTACTTCTAGTGTAAAAGTGACTACTAATTCAGTCTTTCAAGTTTATTATTTATAGAGACCAGCTACTACAAAATATCTTATTGATGATAACTAATTCCTCTTTAATAATGGTTTTGCATTTATTAACATTTTACAGCACTTTGTTTATATGAAACCTCTATTTAACTCTTAATTAAATCACATTTAAATCAAGTAATTACATTTTCATATTCAACTTATGTATTCTTATTAGAACTTAGTCACTTTTTTTTTACTTTGAATCTTTTGACTGTGGTAACAGTCCATTCACCAAACCACAAAGTCATTTAAAAATGTTGAAAGAGAATGTCAAAGGTAAAATTCCTTCTTCTATCATGTTTTTCATGCAATTTTAGGTTGTAAACGTTTTGTCCAACACCTTTTTTACAATTTATCCCAAGCAACACTATGAAAGATTTTAATCCTGGATTTACAGCATTCAGTTTTGAGATGAGTGCAATCACAATGTAGTTTAAGAGATAATTTTCACATGAACACTTATTTACCACAGCACAAACGCATGTACCTATTCATGTAACATTAAAATAAAGTGGAAACAAATTGCATAATTTGGTATATAAAAAAGTACAAAATGTTTTTAGTTTTAATTCGACATTGGACTACGACGAGGAAAACAGTAGTTCATTCCACTTGTACCATATTGACATTATTATGCACGATGCTCGTTCAAACGAACGTCAGAAAAGTGTTGCCAACTAAAGCCTTGGTTTCTTTGAACACTCCGTCGCGGTGAGCGGACAGTCCGTCGACCGTCGTGTTTTGACGATTTTATTAAACCAGAGTATTTAAATGGGAATGATTTTCTTGAATCCGTTTAGCTGAGCAGGACGGGTCATGCCGCTGATTTGCCGCGAAGAGTCGGTTCATATCTGTTGAGTTTGAGCGGAATCGTCAGCGTGTGTGGAGACTATATTGTTATTATTTTTAAAACAATGAGTAACAAATTCACACATACAGATGACATCATGACTTTATTTTTAGGTTTCTTGGATATTATGTCCTTTATAAAACTCAAAAAGATCTGTAGAAAGTCTATGCTCCCTAAATTTGATTTCATTTCCAAAAAGCCTCCGCTGCACAGTGATATTAAAGTCATCTTCTGTATCGCGACACAAAAACAACCTATCCGCACTGGCTTATTGGAAACTTTGACGATTGCGATTGCCAGTTCCTCTTGTTCTTCCTCTTCCAACAATAATAACAACGCAAACAATTTATTTGCGTCCATTTTAGTACCTTTCGTTTACATTCATAATACATAAATAGCACGTACAGACATAGAGATAGTCTCATTTTCTATATTTTTTAAAAAACCATCTCGGGCGAAAATCACTGTCCTCAGCGGTCGACGGACTGTCCGCTCACCGCGACGGAGTGTTCAAAGAAACCAAGGCTTTAAGCTGACTACTATTTCCCCCCTAGCCTCAGTCACCCCCTCATCAATTTACTGGGTCTATGTCGCGACCCCCTTAGATATACCAGCCCTGCTAGCACCTATTGTTTGACAGGTCGTTGGAATGCCTAATAGTGATAGATCTTAACTGAACTTGCAATAACTCTCTATTGAATAGGTATCCAGAAAACTTACCTAATTATAACGTTGGTTTTATGCAACCAGTTGTACAGGTTCTTGATAGCTGTATCGCATCTGAAAGGGTTCCCATCTATGTCTAAAGTAAGATTATTATTAATAGATCGATATGGATATGCAAGTCGATCAAAACGATCTAAATCTTGTTGCGAGAATTTCGTTATATTGTTCCTTTCCAAATCTAGGTATCTCAGTTTCGGTAAACAAGTAATATTAAAGTTCAAACTAGGAATGTTGTTGTTACCTGAAATAAAATATGAATAATACAGACGATTTTTTAAAAAAAATCAAACGTAGAGAAAAGTTAGTATGTATTGCAATAATTCACAAGAACCAGGATTTCCTTTCTTTCCTTTCGGATATTGAAGAGTCTTTTAAAATCAGTAAATTTTGCATGCTTACTTTGCTAATGTTCTCTGAGAGCATAAAATTTTGCCAAATTATACAGGGTGTATCAATAAATTATACCACATATTCTTTGGTCAAAAATAAGTTGATTGAACCTTACTTACCTATATAAAAAATTGCACACACAAAAAGTTATAGGGATTTTCATTGTTAAAACCATGTAGAATGTGTATACAGGAAAAAAGAGGTCATTTTGAACACCTGTTAAATTAAAGTGTTGTATTTTGAGGTTAGTAGTTATAATTTAATAATAAACCTGATTTTGATATTTTTGCAAAAGTAGAATTTACATTGAAAAATGTCAACAAGTAAATGGCTATATCGTTTAAACCAAACATTTTACAAACAAATACTAAGAGACAAAAAAGTTTGAAAATGGACGTTGAATTCCAATGGCGTTCGTTGAATTTTTGACTAAATTTTATACCATAAAAAAGTTGGGTGGACAAAAGGGCGTTGACCCCCTCAAAAAACCTACAAAAAACGAGAAAAAAATAATCGTCTCTATTTTGGCTTTATTGGTAATTGTATTCTAACATGCCATATAAAATTTCATGAAAAAATATTGAATGGTTTAAAATTAATTAAAAATTTTTAACTTAAACATCCTGTAAGTTTTTGTGTGTGCAAGTATTGTCCAACGACTTATTTTTGACTCAAGAACATAAGGTATAATTTATGACCAAACTTTTTGATACACCCTGTATACATTTTTAATTTAAGTGTTAAAAATAGGTTGTCACGTTTATATCTTGTTCTTGTTCAATTTATACCTGAGTTAATATTAATTTTGTAGGTTCTATTATTAATAATATAAAGATACTTTTATAGATAAAAATAATATCTAGCTACTTTTAATGAATGCATTATTTTGGATTTTACGTTCTATCCAATTTATTAAATGAATAGGTAAACATTAATTATTTATCTACTGTAAACTAACTATAACTAGGTACTATAACTTTAAGTATATTTAACCTTGAACTCAAAGTATGATGAATTAAAATAAGTAGTTACCTACTCAAATCTACTTGATTATTCATTATTATGGTATTCCTATATGATTTATTTTCTACTTTTGTTTAATTAAATTCCAAAGTATTACAAACACAATAGTAATAGTCTGTCGTAACATCAATGTTCTATGAATATTATACTTATGGTATGTCCTTTTTAAAATGTTCTTAGAACATACTATGAATATACTTTAAAAGTATATTCAAAAAAACTATATACTGAGCCCACATAACATCAATGTTCTATGAATATGCTAAGAATGTTCTGTCTATGTTGTTTTTAGTATATGCTTTCTAGAATGTTCTTAGAACATACCTAGTATATACATTGAAAGTATATTCTAGAAAGTATATACTGAGTACGTGCTATGAAAGTATATTCTAAAAAGTATATACTGAGTATGTGCCTTAAAAGTATATTCAAAAAAGTATATACTCAGCACGTGCTATAACAGGACATTATTAGAAGATACCAAAATTCATATACCCAGCATGTTCCTCATATTCTGAGAATGTTCTAAATGCTTGCAGGTAAAAATTAACATCAAATACATGTAAAAACACGTTTATATACACATCTATATAAATGTTTCCCAGATGTTAATCTGATAATTCGTTAGCAAACGCACTAACGTTGAGGGTTCAGACCAACAAACATTTGCCACTTTAACAGAAGAGAAGAATAACAACCTACAATTCCTACAAATTTTTTAGATCACGTTTCAGTTTGTAATAGGTAAGTAAATTATTAAAAATTAATGGCGTCGTGTGTTCTATATAAAAATAAACAAATTTTACTATATTTGTAGTTTTTAGGACTTATAATTGATGTTAGAACACATGATATCCCAAATATTAATTGCCAGTATGAATTTATTAATATGGTTAATACTAATGGCGGATTGAAACTAAAATACAGTGTTACCAGAATTACATACACAGTTTCTATGAAAAAAATATTGTAAAGCCAGAAATTGACCTGAAAGAACTATAAAATTAGCTAACGGAGGACGAAAACTACAAAATGGTGGTAAGTAATTAACAAAAATATATTTAAACTTTCACTGAACATAATAATCATTTATGTAACTCTTGTTTTTGTTAGTGGAATGCCATGTACAATTTTTAATGTTTTACGTTCAACAAAAATATTCCATTAGCTATGTACACTTAATTTGTATATGTACCAAGTTTGTTGATTTTTTTTTATTTTTTAGGTTCAATGAAGATCCAATGAAATCAAGCAATAAATTATTGGTTGGTTGAGGTCAAAGAAAGAATTTGTAATAAAAATAAGATAAGTATATATTATGATTTTTTTTAAATAAAGATTTAAAAAATGGTCACGATTTTCATTATTATATAGGTACACTTATTCTTTAATGTTCAATATTAATCAAATATCCTGTATTATGGTGTCTAGTATATGCCCAGCATATGTTATATTTAAATACTTAGCATATACTTAGAACGTACTATCAAATTAGAGTAGATACCTATTGCATGCTGTACCCATACTTGAAGTACATTCTCAGTAACTGCATAGCACGTATAAACAACGTCACGTAGCATATTCTTGGTATATTCTGAGAATGTTCCAAATGCAAATACAGTATATTCTCAGCATATGCACATTCTTAAAAAGTATATACTGAGAATATGCTAAGAATGTATAATTGTTATCTGGGAGTAGGTACGTGCTTTAGAAGTATATTCTAAAAAGTATATACTGAGCACGTGATTTAATAGGATACTACAAGTCATACACCCAGCATCTACCTCATGTTCTGAAAACTTTCTTAATGCTTACGGGTAAAAATTAACACGAAATATAAAAGCACGTTTTTATATTCCTATTTTTTCCTACATACCGCATTAAGCTGCAATGGCGGCTCCAGACCGAATTTTGGGGACAGGGGTATTGCCATTAGCCATTCCCTTTTTAGCATATTTTTTTTAAATAAAAGGCTCATGGTTTGTAAGAATTTTTACATGGTCCCCATAGCCATCCGCAACCTTATTCTGAGTTAAGTTTATGACGCAAACAAAATTTTATCATTGGTAATTATGGTTCCACTGACAATTAAAGTGACAGTAAATTTTTTGAGTGCGTTTTGTTCGTTTTGTTTACCTAAATTATATCGTTTTTTTTTCACTTTTATTAACCGACTTCAAAAAAGGAGGAGGTTATCAATTCGTCGCGATATTTTTTTTTTTTTTTTTATGTATGTTCAGCGATTATTCTTTAACACGGTGTCCGATTTCAATGATTCTTTTTTTGTTAGAAAGGGGGTATTTCAGGAGTGGTCCCATATAAATTTATTTAAATCTAATAATTGGGTCCATGAGAAAATCCTCAAACTCTTCATTTTTTTATGTATGTTCTGCGATAATTTTTTAACACGGTGTCCGATTTCAATAATTCATTTTTTTTTTAGAAAGGGGCTACTTTAGGGGTGGTCCATATAAATTTGGTCAAAATCTAATAATTGAATCCATGAGAAAATCCTCAAACTCTTCATTTTTTATGTATGTTTAGCGATAATGCTTTACCACTTGTCCGATTTATACGATTCTTTTTTTGTTAGTAAGGGGGTACCTCAGGGGTGGTCCCATATAAATTAGGTTAAGATGTGGTGATGGCATCTGCACGTTTTTGAAGTCGGTTTTTTTAAATTTTTAATTTGTAATACTTGTAAATATATTCCTAAAGTAAGTAGATAGCATGTATCAAATATAAAATCGTTTAGTTACCAATTACATACCTTTAAACTATTTTTTATGACCTGTAAACAATAGTTTGAAATAAAATAAAAACAGTAAAAACGTATATGTCAAATTTATTGATGTTTTTGTTAAAAGTTTGGTTAGAATTAATTGTCAGTGGAACCAAAATGACATCACACTGAACTAGCGCATTATCGAAAAAAAGTTTTGTTCCATCAAGACAATGCGCCGCGCCGTGTCATAATTCCCTTATTGCTATGGCTAAAATTAATTAAGTTCGCTTTGAATTACTACTTGATGCACCGTACTTGTCAGACTTGGCACCTTCGGACTTCATTAAATAGTTCAGAAAGAATACCTAAAAATGAACTATTTAATGAATCTTCCGCATTATAAATAACCAATAAACAAAACACCAGATCTCGCAAGCGTACCATTCCCATTTCAATTTTATGTGTTCTGGTTCTCCGACAAATTCAAAATGTCAGAGATTTTTTGCCAGCACACTGTTCGGTGCAGTTTTAAAACCGTTATTATTTTGAGACCCAGAACAATCCTAGCTGTTTGCCATCTGCTACGCTACGTCTTGCGGAGAAAAACCAGCGGATCCATGAGGGGAAATTGACATCCACTTGAAACTAATAAGTAGTTGATACCTTTTACCCTTGAAATTATTGCCTCCCCTTAGGTGCGTTTTGATCATCCGCTTCTGCTTCCGGAATTGTCGGTTTTCTTGTTTTAATCTGACAGGTTAAAACGACTAAACCGACAATTCCGGAAGCAGAAGCGGCTGATTAAAACGCACCTATTGTAAGGTTCTGGATCCATCCCTCGGTAGAAAGTGTGAAATTTGGTCGAGTTAGTAGCATACCGTGGTGTAAGTGTATATAAAAAAATATCAGTTTTAAGATAAAACTTACGATAATGGCCTTACGGATGGTTAAACTCCGTTAAATTTTCAATATTTGAAGAAAAACCTGCTCAGAAACTAAGCTCTAAATTGAAAAAAGATGTAGGACATACAAAGACATTACAACATAGAGACAAAATGTTTCATTCATGAATCCCATACAATTGCGGACTGTTATTGTTT